GGGGGAGGGTGTAGGGGATAGGGGTGTAATATGACACAATAAAACAAATAGTACGGTACGGATCAAGTTTGGCGATCTTTTACTATATAAAAATGGGATTTGCACCTTTCGTCAGTCGTTTATTAACTGGTCGTTATCAAGAGGTTATTTTGACAGTAGGGACGATGTTAAGAGGCCGTTGCCGTTGTGGAAAGGAGGCCGTTGTAAAGAGGTTAAAATAAGAGTGAATGTATGGACTGTCCGCCGGGACCAAAAAACTTGGCCGTTTTAGAGAGTTGGCCGTTAGTGGAGGTTCGACTGTGTGTACATGGCGACTAATTATTGCAAGCTGGCGAAAAGCTCTATTCCCAGTCAAAGCCTAGTTTCGCACTTGATTACACGAGGAATCGTCCTCGCGTTTTCCGGAATAAGATATTCAAACCTCGTAATTTGTCAAATGGCCTAGGTATTAGACCGATGTCTAATCATTATTTATGTACTATCCTGGGACAAATTGCTGCTGAAGATCACCAAAACATCAAGGTAAGCAGGACGAAATTTTTCCTTTTTTTGTCAAAATTGGAGTGCATACGAAAACTTTCTTCACTTTCTTTGCCAAAAATCTTTGCGCATTTCAGCCTTGAGGAAAATTTAGTCCATCTAAACTAAAAACAACTACTTCGTGAGTCTACCTCAGTGTCTTTAGTAATATTATTAGTTTTAATTAACTTGTTTGTTTGATTAATTATTCTAGGATCTTGATCGGTCTGAGAATCTTTTTTTAAAAAAGGTCAACCATGGAATTAGCATGTCATCATATTAGCAAGGAATAAATGGACAGACCACAAGACTGGAATCGAACAAAGCATTTGTCGTGTCTCAGTTCAACGCCATGAGAACCCTTTCATTGCCTGTCTGGTCACCCTCATAATCTTAGCGTCCACTGTTGTCCAGACCATTGTCATGCTGGTTAAATGTCAGGACCTCGGCCTGATTGTCTAAAGGGTAGGTCACTCTATCAGTAACTAAGTGCACAAAGTCCGAAGCGGTACTGCCAGAAAAATTCGGTGAGGGTATGCGGCCCGCTTCCCAAAACCCTTACCCTACATATGACCAATATCTGCTATTTTCCCTACCCTATTTATGACCAGACCAAAAATTCGATACCTTATTTATGACCGTTGCGGCTGACACAGTTGCCCTATAAACTTAATTTTGGAAGGGCTTTCGTTTATGGTCTTATCGATAATGATGAAATAGTAGCTTCTTCTAAACAACAAACTTAATTAGAGACTAGAGCGCAAAAACCATACCATATTTAAGACCAAAATAGCCCAAATCGATACCCTGTTTATGAGCAAAACGGCTGAAAAACCATACCCTTTTGGGTCGCACATACCTATGTAGCCCATATAAGGGAGTAGCTCCCACGGGGCACAAAGCCATCTGCACCATCCAACCTCCAAATAAAATGTTATTTTACATAATAATTAACTAATTCTTGACCTCCCCTTTCTGATCAAAACACTTGAGCCCAGGAACACCAGGCTTAATCAATGCTGTGCAGTAGCCACTGCTCACAAACGCATGCGTCGTAAGTCAAAAGACTCATAGCTACGAACTCTATAACGGACGTTAACAAAGAAAACTTTATTTCGAGTAATTGAAATACGTTGAAACACGAAGAGAAGAAATTAAAATGCTACAACTAAATCATGATCAATATGGATAAATCAGTACAGTTAATTGAATAAATATGAGCGCAAGCAGAGATGTGTAAATAAAAACTAAGCTAATCAACTTTATCACAGTACACGAAATAAGGTAATGAAAGCTACATAGGTTATTCAGCAGCCACCAGTCGACAATGTGCGTGTATGCATAGTGGTCATGGGCTTCAGTTAATTTTTTGTTTACTACCACAAATGCTGCTGCTGCTATTACTACTACTACCACCACTGACGTCTACTACTACACAAGTGCTCAGCGTACATTTTATAAATCTTGAGGATGCATTATAACATCTCCAATGAGTCAGCTAAGCCCATCTACAAAAGAGAACAAAATGAGTTTTTGAGATCATCATAAACAACGATGTAACGTGGCTAGCCAAATATTAAGTATGAAAAGTGAATTATAATTCGATTGACTGGTCGATAGAGATAAGATATACGTTCTTTACAATTGGCTAGTTAACTTCTAGCCAACTCATCCTTTCACTATTTAGAATGAGAACAACTAATAATTTGTCTGATAAATTCACAACAATCTGTAACAACACCAGTTGAAAAATATTGCCCCATTTTAGTTATCTTCAAACCACTGATGACGTACTTACTAAAGCCTTTTGCCAACGTTGCTTTCAAACTGGCCTACATAGTTCCCTGGTGGGAAGTAACGAGCCACTACATAGCTTTTGTAGAAGCCCTTGTTATCCGGTTCTGAAGTTGTTGCAATACCGACTCCAACTGCTTTAGTTCCTTTCCAGACAACCTAAAATACAAAAGCGTTTTTCTGATGTGCTCCTAAAAATTGTAACAAGCTGCCATTGTAGAATAAAATTGAAAAAGTGTCCCGCGCCAGCGTACCATACGAATAACTGCTTGGAGAACAATAAGAGTCGTCTACTTCACGGCAATCTGCGCACAGTTGCTGTCTTCAGATCAACTTTTAATGTAAGAGGCAAATTCCAACTAAAAAATACCGTGAGCCTCTCTCAAACGGAACGTATTACATACACAAGGCAGAGACTCGAGGGCCACCAGCAACGAAGTAGAATTCTTTAATTAGAAAGAGAATTAGTGGGTTATTATGAAATCTTTACACCAATCTTTTGCGATAACGATTTCATTCATTTACTGAGGAAATTAATAGATCGGGCAGACAAATGGACAAAAGGTATCAGAATTTATCGTTGCAGTCGGCTAGGCTTAAGATTACTCCGGGAATATAACAGTTTTTAAAAGTTTGATATATTTGAAAGGAATGATTGTTGCCACGGATGAACATAATGTGTTAAACGTTTTGCGAACCCTTAAAACTAAAACCTATTGAGGCGACCTTCTACATTCTGAAAAAAGTGAATTGCAAAATTTGATGTACTAAGATCAGTGACGGAAAAAACCCACCCCTCCCCCATGAGTAAGTACGGTTACCTGCGTGAAATGACCAGTGTTATGAGCAAATCCAGGTTTGTCAAATTTGTAATCCTTTATTTCTTTGTACCTTTAATCAGTGAAAACAAAAATCACATATCAAATTTCTGCTGCAAAGACATATGTTTCACTCAGTTTCACACCTTTTAAGGTATGATCAAAAGCCATGATTAAAAGCCTTAATAGGCTTTCAATCAAATATCTGCTTCACAATATGTACATCTTTATTTTAAATATAAACTCGAATTTTGAGCAATTTAGGAGGCTCTTAGGACTAAAGCAGCTATTTCAATATCCAATTAAAAGGTCTTCAAACAATTGGTAATCCGCTCCCTATATCTGAATCGACTTAAATACCATGTCTTATCCTTGACGAAACTTGGCAGGATTTTTTTGGTTGTCGACAAAGAGACACCAAATTTCAATATCCAATTGAAAGGTCTTCAAACAATCGGTAATCCGCTCCCTATATCTGAATCGACTTATATACCATGTCTTATCCTTGACGAAACTTGGCAGGAATTTTTTGGTTGTCGACAAAGAGACACCAAACGGCTTCATCTCCGGAAATGGAAGAGATGGAAGGTTTCTATTGTTTTCTATGGATAGCTGTGTGCATTGCGAATATATAAACGTGCAGAATATCTCAATAAGCTGAAACGTCCATTTTTCCCTTATGATTAAGACCACTACCTTTTGGGGCGTTTTCAGTGGACGGAAAGGGCTAGTGTTTGCAAAAGGTTGAGAAATCTTTTAACCAGGGCAATCCTTACATTTGTTTGTTCAACAAATGGTCACCTACCAAGCTTGCACTGCTTGTGAGCACGTAGCGGCTGTTGGAGCCTTTGACCAGGACATATACAGATTTTCCCCTTGATCAGGAACTGATGAATGTACCATATGTCCTAACCTGACCAAGTGATCAGCCCAGGCCTGCGCGTCCTCTGCCAGCTTAGCGTCCCAGACAAGCTCTGATGTGTCCTCATGAAGAGCACGCTTGGCATTATGAGCTCGAACACAGGCATATTGGTTCACTTTAGAACAAAATAGAACGTGACTTTCTTGACAATTAACAAGGGTAAAGCCACAAAAAGATCATAACAGCTAAATAACTACCTGTACGTTTTTCTACTCTGTACTCTTTGAACAGTGGCGAGTAATCGGAAAAACGACGCAGTGGTACGCTTGCACGACCAAGAGCGCCATCACAGAAGACTTGGAATGAAACAAGGACCAGAACAATGATAAAAGAAGACATGTCACGGGAGTATCCAAAAGCTGATATCTGGTGAGAAGATGAAGTAATCAAGAATCAAAATGACTGAATCCTTTTTCTAACCTGGGGTTACTATCTTTTCATTTAAACTAACAACCCAGGAGTACATTTCCAGCTTTGGATATGCGTGGCTTAAAGAAATTGTGAACAAGAACATTAAGAAAACTGTAGAGACTTAAGTAAATAAGAAAATTAAAAATCGCGCATGGAATTGTGTCCATAGCACTGCATGTACTAAAAGAGAGGAAAATGCAATGATCATGAGACAAATACACCTAATTAACAAGATATTTCAGAATAAAAGTGAAACGGTTACTGGAAAACATTGGACAGAGTATATACAATCAATGGGTGTAAATCTTATACGGTTTTTCTCTTTATTTCACAACGCTCACTTTTGGCGGGAATCGCCTAACACCCGCGCATCATTAATACTAAACTTGTCTCCTATTACTGAAAAATTCAATTCAGTCAAGTACTCGATAGTTAATTACCAAAGACGTGTACACTCTTTTTATTATCATTATTTACGTTTTCTACTTCTGATTTGTTGCACGTTAGTTCGTCTTAATTTTGGCGGGAATTTTACGCGCGCAACTTAATCTCAACTATATTTGAAGGCCCAATGCGGTTTCCAGTGGGTTCAAAGGCTTAAAAGAGACACCGCTCCCTATATAAGGCTTATAACTCCACGCTCAGCCTTCATATTTTATCAGCATTACTAAACATTTTTTGCCGTGGCCGTGTCATGTTGCTCTACAGTGCATGGTAGTCATAGCGCCGTGTGAAAGGGGCTACAAACTATTGCTTATCAGAAAATACACGGAACTGTAACTCGCTTACCTTAATCGCTACAAGCTGCGGAGTGCTTACTAACAAGAGGACGAGTAGTGTGTCGACCGATGAAAATATTTCTCGGAGATTTGAACAACTTTCCCCTCTCACGACTACTGTCGAATAAGTGTAACAGAATGCGTACCACTGCTAATAAATCATTACTGCCGCTACGGGAGAACAATACATGCCAATCACGACAAATCGGTGAAATGGTTTCAAAAAGAACTGAAAACTAATCTAATCAGTGACGAATAAACCTGTCAACTCATGATCATCAAAGCTCGACAGAACCTGATGTAATTGCCTCTCAAATGTTTGAAGATCGACCTCAACCAAACCGCTAAATAGCTAGTAATTATTTTCAATTTAACGTTTCTCACGGCGCGTTTCTTGATGCGGGTAAGGATCAACGATCCAAGATCACTTGGATCATGGCGCAGCAACGGAACCGAGGATTCCACTCTGGACAAGGATTTATCTTTTCCGTTGATGCGCCATTTGAATCATTGATCCTGACCCTGATCATCCCAAAGGAACGAACCCTTTGTGTTAAACCGTGATCGACGTACAAGAGTACGTCCTATAAGTCACACAAAGCTCTATGTACAGTTCCATTTACTTTGTTCCATGCCATGCTGAAGAGTTTCTTCCGTTTTCTGGCACTAATATTGCATGTACAAATCATATTGAACGCTTAAACAATGCACTTTGTTACGACGTCCCTTTTGTTGACATAATGCAAATAACGTTTACTTTAAGATCAAGCTATGTAATTATTCTTAGCGCTGATGTCGTGATTCTGTCATTTTGGGAAAACGTGATAAATGAATCTTCGCCAATAACGTGTCACGCAAGTTTGGTGTAGTGTTGATCCCTCTCTTACTTACAATATTTTCTCTCTTTGTGCGTACTATACATGGTCTTAAGATGTCCGAGAGTGAATTCTAACAGCTCGATTGATTTATTAATGAGATAAGGATTAGTTTGGCGCCCTAGCGGTTTAGCCTTTGCTTGACCTTGCGATCTTGGTCTTGATTTTGGCGGGAATCACGATAAAGCGCTAAAATATTCGACTATGAAACTAAACTATTTGTCATGACCCTCCGGTCATGCACTTAGCACATATTCAATGTCGCAAAAGGATAAAAGCAACTTTCCTTGCTAAATCACATGGACATAACCATACGACTTCGTTCGTTAGTTGAATATACCATGCAAGGTCATGCAACATTTCTTATACTTTGACGCTATCAGATCCGGGTTATAAACTGCACTTAAAACAATTAAGGTCCCTTTGCTGCTCAACGAGGGATGTTGCGTTTATAATGGAGGCAAGTTTACCGTGAAAATTTATTTGCAAAAACGAAAGAAATCAATGTGCAAAACTCGATGCAAAAGACCTCGCGATCAACTTTAGTCCGTGGCGTTCATTGGCGATGAATCCGAAAGCCTTCTCTTTTACAATTTTCTTTTAATTTAGTACAAAAAAATGCAATACTGAAACGGCACGAGAGAAGTCAACGTGTTCTGTTAATTACAATTAACAGCGTGTTAACAACATCATTTCACTTAATTTAGAATGGAAACAAGAAGAAAACAATCCGAGTCTTGTAACGATTTTTTGCTTTTGTAAATAGTTCACTCTCGACCATTTTGGCGGAAACCGATTCTGCGCGCGTTACTAATTAGAGTTTAAATCCACGAAGTCAGGCTATTACTAGCACCAACTTCTGCTTCAGTAATCTGAATTGTGTTATGCTATATTATCAAGCTCTACGTTCAATCGTCATCTCGATTGTATCATAGAAGCATATTCAGATATTACATCGATTATGCCACGTTACGTTGTTCAACATACAAACAAATTTCATCTCGTGCGAACAGTATCATTCACAGCTAAAATATGAATAATTTATTGCTTTCAATATTTAAACGATTATCGATCATCTGTTGTGCCATTGGACATTGCGTCAAGCCGTGATCATCTAAAAGAGTACATTAGAATGCGCCTTTCAAGAGAGCTATAAACACACATGTCACACGCTTCGTTAACTTCGCTCTTTGCTGAGGGCTTCAAGCGCGCTGAAGAGCTTTTCGGTTTTAGTAGAAGAACTGTTGTTGGTCACCAACAACAGTTCTTTTCAGAACTACACTCACCCGGACGATCACACTATACGAACTACTGATACTCCTGGGTTCAAACCATTTACTGT